GTTCATTTCAGTTCCAGCCAATGGACTAAAACATGCACTGTTTCGGTAGTGACATGGAAAATGCGGGACACTTTTTTTTTTTTTTACATAAAGTTCCATAATTTACAAAAAAAATAAAATAATAATAATAATATAGATATATATATATATACTGTATATATATATATATATATATATATTTAAAAAAATTTGTAACATTATAAAATGCCTTTTCTTTCACTTTTGATCATTTTAACACATCCATGTTGAACAAAAGTACTAAATTCTAAAACTAAGATCTTACTGACCCCAAACATTTGAATGGTAGTGTATATATTATGATGGGTGCATGAATTTTGAACTTCTTCTGCAGTTTTGTGAGATTTACACATCATGGACAAGTTATAAAAAGTATATAGGAATTACTTTTAATCTAATTTGTGTCAAACCATGCAAAATGTTGAGTCAAGAAAGATAGGCCTATTGTCAGACTCTGTTCCGTGTTCTGTGTGTGTTTTGCTTCCCATGTGTTCCTTATGCCCCTATTTGGTTCTTCCTTTTCCTGTTCCCATTATGTTCCCCAATTAGTTCTTCATTTGTTCCCAGCTGTGTTTAGTATGGACCTCCCAGACACCAAGGAACTATGCTGGAGGGAAGGGATCTACCGGTGTCTGGGGAGTGTCTCTCCAGCCCGCCGGCCGTTCCTCAGTCAAGCACGCCGGCCGCGGCTCACTCAAGCCGGCCGACCACGCCTTTCACCCTGAACCTAAAGGGGAATCGAAGGAGGAGAGGGCGGTCAGCTCCAGCCCCAGAGCTCACTCCAGTGTCGGCTCCAGCTCCTGAGTTCGCTCCAGTGCCAGCTCCTCGAAAGCACCTTGCTGTGCCTGCTCCTCCAGAGCACCCTCCAGTGCCAGCTCCTCGTAAGCGCTTCCCAGTCCCCGAATCCAGCCCAGCGTGGGGTCCTGTCCCCGAATCCAGCCCAGCGTGGGCTCCTGTACCCGAATCCAGCCCAGCGTGGGCTCCAGTCCCCGAGTCTAGCGCAGCGTGGGCTCCAGTCCCCGAGTCTAGCCCAGCGAAGGCTCCAGTCCCCGAGTCTAGCCCAGAGAGGGCTCCAGTTCCCATGTCAAGGGCCACTGTTACCGAGTTAGGCCTACGGAGGGCCTCTACAGACGATATTCTCCCTAAGGATTTTTTTTGGGGGGGGTAGTATGGGTCCGTCCATAGTGGCCGGGCCGAGTGGTAAGGCCATGGAGGCCGTCCATCCATGGCCTCCTGAGTTCCCTACTCCGCCATGGCCTTCTAAACTGTCTGCTTCACCATTCCCCTGTGTTTATAAGCCCCAGTCTGTTCCGTTTGGTTTAGTCGGGTCTACTTGTTGAATGAACGTCGATCCCCGTGTCCTAAGTGTGGTTTTCCCTGTTGTAAATAAAGTCTGTGATAATTCTGGAATCTCCTTTGTCTCCTCGCTCCTTCACAGTAGGCCCACCGTGACACCTATATTGGAAGAGAACAGTCACCTAACTATCTTTAAAAAATAGTATTCTTCAAATAATGTAATTACACAAAAAATGCAAGGTCATGTAAGATGCATTGCATTGTGGAATACAGTATCCACACACAGTTGCATTACACACATTTATAATATTCCCTTCAGACAGAACATACTGTACAGTATGTATACATACTGTATATGGCAGAAATAATAAGAGTATTGTGCTATGCTGAACTCAATTTCCTGTCCTTGGTTGAGGACCGAGCAAATAGCTTTTAATTATAAGCAAATCGCTAGACTTGGCAGAACATGAAGTGATTATGTTCATCACCCTTCTCTTAATACAGAACATACTGTACAGTATGTATACATACTGTATATGGCAGAAATAATAAGAGTATTGTGTTATGCTGAACTCAATTTCCTGTCCTTGGTTGAGGACCGAGCAAATAGCTTTTAATTATAAGCAAATCGCTAGACTTGGCAGAACATGAAGTGATTATGTTCATCACCCTTCTCTTAACTGTCTCTTAACGGTCTCTTAATGTCCCTTAAATTCCATTTTCTCCAATGTACATTTCACAAAATTGCTATTATTCATATAAATCGTACAAATGAAGAGATTTTGGTGGAAAAGATCTCAACCTAGTCGTCAAGCTGACCTGAAATGCTTCACAGTCCAGCTGCCAGTCTCTTCAATTCAAAGTGCTGGTAAGTTTAAAGATGCTATAGAGGTCAGGCTTGCAGCAGTTTAGGGATAATTGGATTGCAACCACCCCCTGATAGATTTGATTGGATGAGCAAGAATGTTTCAAGTCGCTAGGTTGTGGGTGGTGTATGATGTTTTGTGTAGAAACTCGACATCAAAGATAAAAACTGGGAGCAGGTGGAAACTAAACGTTCAAATCGTCTCCATGAGGGAGTGAAATTCTGGGAATCAGAGAGGCAAACAGGCGGATGAGGCGTTTTCTCCATCTGTCTTCATGTTTACATTAAACAGCATCAATGATTTGTCTGACTGGTCTTTGAATGTTTCCAAGTGTTTGTGCGACTGCTTTTGAAGACCGGATGATTCAGATTGAATTTTTTTGTGATTTAGAAAGAAAAGCTGCATTTATTTGATCAAAAATACATTAAAAACCGTAACATTGTGAAATATTATTACAATTTAAAATAACAGTTTTCTATTTTAATAAATTTAAAAGATCATTTATTCCTTTGACGGCAATTTTCAGCATAAGTGTCACATGATCCTTAAATCATTCTAATATGCTGATTTCAAGAAATGTTTCTTATTATCAATCTTGAAAACAGTTGTGCTGCTTAATATTTGTGTGGAAACAGCCATTCAAAGGTTTGGGGTAAGAAAGAAAGAAATGAACATTATAATAAGTATTTCTTGACCAACAAATCAGCTTATTAGCATGATTTCTGAAGGATCATGTGACACTGAAGACTGAAAATTCAACTTTGCATCACAGAAATAAATTACATTTTAAAATATATTCAAATAAAAACCAGTTTGTTTAAATCATAATATTTCACAATAGTACTATATTTACTGTATTTTAATCAAATAAAATGCAGTCTAGGTTAACATAAGAGACATCTTTATATAAAATCAATAAGAACGTTCATATAAATGATAGAATAAATAATATATATAAATGCAAACATTATATTATTAATATTTTAAACAATGACTCTCAAAAGAGATAAAAGATAAAAATGTCATAGCTTCCACTTCGTGTCACCTTGAAAATGCAAGTTAGATTGCATTTTGGGATACAGTTTTTTGGGATGTCATGCACTCTGTCCACACATTTTAGGCAAATTTAGTATTTTATCTGAGAGCGCCATCATGTATACAGAAAATTGACATACTGTGCACCATACTGCAATAGTAATAGTATGGCAGTACGCTATTCTAACATAGCAAAACTGGCATCAGGAAGACAGATTTTTTTAAAGATAGATTTTGGGTCAGCAACCCAAGTATTGTAGTTCCTGTTGTTAATTTTAGCCGATAGATGTTCAGTGTGAACACCCATGGGCCAGATAGGAAGGAAGTGGTATTTTTTTCTCTGATCTATAGTTTGAGAGTCAAGACAGTATCAGCGTCTCACAGTTGGGATTGCATTTATTGTGCCTTTCCTTCCCGAGAAGCCCCCGACTCATCTACTGAGTCCACTGTGCCTGAATCTTATTTATGCAGGTGCTGCAGTTTCACATTGAGGTGAACTTCACGCTGACCTTGCAGTGCTAATACTGCTGGTGCTGCTGTGGTTTGACCGTGCCTTTGATACGGCTGTGGGTTTAAAGCCTAGAACACGAACAGACAACCAATTAGTAGCAGAAATGTTTTTGATCATGCATTGTTCAAAATGATCAAACAGATGACACTTAGGAAATGTAAAAATAAATATATACATATGCGCAATTACGCTGACGCACAAAATTCATGGCTAATTAATGTATCGTCTCTTGTGATCTGTGCAATACGCTGATGAACCGGGGTCGTTAAGACTCTTTTTAATCAGTGACCCGACAATCAGAGGCTGATTAACACTCGGCAGATCTCATCAGACACTCTTGAAATCAAGATGGGCACCAGGAGTCAATTTACCGTAAATGAACACATAAAAGTAATTGTCAAGTCCTGCTTTGCACCAAAGCACGAATCAAATGAGGAAAACATGATAACAACAGAATTTTGCATGAATTGTTCCCAAAATGACAACTTAGACACCTAAACAAAACTTCTTGACAATGGATCTATTAAAATCAAGGCCGTTGAAGTGAATGATGGTAGCGAACAAGAATGAGACAACAGCTCTATTTCTCAACCTACATACACATTTAAATGTGATGGAACTTTATAAGTGACCGATTCTCATTGAATGAGAGACTTGGCTTATATGAACTGTTTAGTGTTAGCATTTTGCTAAGCTAATGACAAATATTGAGCAAAATAGTTTCAATTAGAATATTTTATTCATATGTTTAGTTTTGGATCAATTTTGTCAGTGAAAAAAAGGCATTATTGGATTGACCTTATAAAAAGGACATGTGGTCACCCTAAATTTGGCCCAAATGAGGTATCTTTTCTTCTGGAACCTTTGCCAAGAACGCAGCTATGAGGTCTTAAAATACTGTCTATGTAAGCAGCGACGGTTTTCAAACAGAGTCCTCCTGGAAAGTTTGTATTTCCACTAAAATACAGCAAGTTTTTGCCACCTCATAAAATAGTATAGAATTTTCTCATGAGATCTGATAAAAAAAAAACTCATACTAACTCAAATCATACTGTACATATGATTCAATAGCATTATAACAGGAGTAAAAACAAACTCATGTGCATACGAACCTAAATTATTATTAATCCAGCATGAAGGACACAGATAAGAATAATGCACAGCCAGTGAATGACATTTGATCTAAACAGAGAGGTGTTACTAAAATATCAAATGAAGGAAACCTACAAAGGTGCAAAATCAAACGATTCTTGTTCATCATCCAGCTAAATCAGAACACTAACTGCAGCATGTGTCCAGTGAGTCATCCATGTTAACAGAGTCGCGCTTCACACGTGTGCCATCTGTATCTCCAGATAGCAAGGGAACTGCGCACGTCTGCGTGTAACGTTCTCCCCGAGCAGCGCTGCAAACCAGAGCGAACAGGAAAACAAGTCAATTTGACATTCACGCTCACGGGTGAGGCCTCACGGGGCAACCAGCCAACAGTCTGAGAGCTTGTTTCATCCTGGAAGATGCAGAGCGAGGAGGAAGAGGCTCAGAAAATGACAGCTGTGAACATCAACCCGATGGAACAAAGGCTGAACTTAGACAGGGCTGCCTTCTCTGGCTTCTCCCTGCTCCTGTGGACATCCAATTTTGAATTTCAAAGCTATCTCCAGAGGAAAAGCAATAGGTTGTGTTCCCTGCTGACTTCGGGTGCAAGTTTGAGTTTCAGTGACTTAAAAAAAAAAAGAAAAAGTGATTCAGTTTATATTGTCCATGTACTTTTACAGAAAGTCCATAAATTGAAACTATAGGAGTTGATGCAAATAGTTAAAGAAATAGATCATCCTAAAGTAATTTACTCACCATTTTTGATGTTTCACATGCTCTTTTTTATGCAATTAAACTAGATGGTGATTTACAGTGCAAACATCAAAAAGACCCCTCAAAATTATTTTTAAAGTACCATAAAATTAACACCTTAAAAAAAGTACAAGTAGGACATATGACTAATTTGCTATATTCAATCCACATTTTACTTGCAATCCGTTACAACTTGCAAAAACCAAAGGCACTTGGAATAAATTGTCAAACCACATTTAAAAGTTTTTGTTTTTTAAATGCATACAAGATTGGATGAGATTTGAGAGTTTTGTAAGTGTAAACAATGACTAATAATTTGATGTTTTAGAGACTGTTCACGTAGCACAAGACAAGTTATTCACTTTATTTCTGATTTCTTTTTGTGCTAACACTCACTTGTTCCTTTTGTCTTGCAGTTCGTGATTTTCTGGTCATAGCAGTGGGCACAGAGGCTGCTGTTCAGTGCAGTCTGTATGGGGAATATATCCTCACTCCCCTGCCGGACTGCTTACTCCTGAAGGATGTTAAAACTAAGAAAGTGCTATTCAAATGGATGTACTGTTATGTAAGGAAGTTTGGACAAGACACGGTAAGCTAGGGCTTTTTTTTGTATCTATTTATTTTTTCATTCAAAAATACGTTACTAAATATCCAAGGGCGCATTAAATTGATCAAAAGTGAAAAACATGCAAACTATGTTACAAAAGATTTCTATTTCAAATAATGTAGACTATGTTCTTTTGAAATTTCTATGCATCTTCATCATATAAGAATGACTTCTGAAAGATCATGTGACACATGTGAAGACTGCTGATAATTGCCATCACAGGAATAAATTACATAATTTTTTTGTAATAACATTTCACAATTTTACTGTTTTTATAATATAAATGAAGCCTTGGTGAGCATCTTATATATGTGTATGTAAGGTCAAATTAACTGATATTTTAAGACTATAAACACACACATACACACACACACAACAGGAAGGGGAAAAAAACTTTTTCACGGCACTGTATATATTAATGTATATATTAGTGCTGTCAAACGATTAATTGTGATCAATCGCATCCAAAATAAGTTTTTGTTTACATAATACATGTGTGTGTGCTGTGTATATTTATATAAATACAAACACATACAGTATATATTTTGAAAGTATTTACATGTATATAGTTATATTCATATAATTTATATTATATATAAATATATTTAATATATAAACATAACATCTTTTTTTTAAATATATACATGTATGTGTGTGTAATTATGTATACATAATAAATATACACAGTACACACGTATATTATGTGAAGAAAAACTTTTACTTTGGATGCTATTAATCATGGATAATGAATAAATATTTCAGAAAAATATGTAAAATATTTATATTTATATATGATATATATTATATTATATACATATACACACACACACACACACACACACAATATATATATATATATATATATATATAATTTAATAATAATTTATGCATTTAGCAGACGCTTTTATCCATTCAGGTTATACATTTTTTACCAGTATGTGTGTTCCCTGGGAATCGAACCCACAACCTTTTTATGACAAGGATAGGTTAGTTTAGGTTGTAAAGTGCACAAAAGCTTAATGATATTTCCTATAAATTAATAATTCATAATATTTAAAACAAGAAAAAAACACTTTTTGTGCACATCCAAATGTAAACAAGGTTTCAGGAAAATACTTTTTCCTTAATGGTTACACTAAATGAAATCAAAAATTCATTTCGGTTCAAGATTCTTGAAAATCGTATTTCAAAACCATCTGAAATGGCCGTGAATTAATATTCCGTAACGATTTTTTCTTTTCTTTATCTTGACATTGATCCTGTGATGTAGGTTAAATATTCATGTACTTTTTCTCCACTCGTTAGTGTTGTCATCGTGCAGGTGTGAAGTTTCCTCATTTAAACGCATTGAATTTCATTTGCATGCCTTTTCTCGTGGGAAATAAACAGCCTGTCTTTATTATCGCTCGAGTGATTGTGGACAAACATCTCTGCTCTGAAAATAGATTTCATAACTTCCCCTTCTCTTTTCTCTCCCTCAGCTGTCTTTTTCCTTTGAGGCTGGTCGCAGATGCGAGTCCGGCGAGGGGAATTTCGAGTTTGCAACCCATCAGGGTGAAAGACTGTTCAACATTGTCAGCGCAGCCATCCAGAATCTACCCAGACCCTCCACAGCAAAGCCAATCAGCCCTGACCATGTAGAACAAAGTCTAGCTCAAGAAACCATGGCCACGGATGAAACGTACGACTACACCATAGATAGTCAAGCGTCTGACGTTTTGCCTGAGGGGAAAATGCAGAAAGCATCAAAAATGCTCAACCCCTCTTGGAGGAGCTTTTCTTTGAATGCAATTGAGCCAGCAAGTGAAAGTCAAGTGTCGAGCATCGACACCGACCTCGAGAATCAGGAACCCATCTACGCCACAGTGTCAAAAGCTCAGCAAAAAGCCACTTCCCCTACAGACCCTCAAATGCACTGGCAAAACCTGAGAAAAGCTCTCCAGCAGTCTGCGTCTTTCCGAGACTCTTTCAAGACTGACGCTGACATTTCGCAGCTGTCTGATTTCACGATCCCCCGGGAAGAGGGTGCGCATGAAGAGACGGAGGCTGCAGAAGGTTCGACTGACTTGTTGGGTGATTCCATCCAGCAATTAGCAATTAATGACGCATTTCAGGACATCAGTGCAGAAGCAATTTATGCAGATCCACAGGACCTCCAAGCCAGAGCTGAGTGGGTTGTCGGCTTCATGAAATCTGCTTGCCTGTAATGGAACAGTAATAATTACAGTTGGTGGTATACGGTTTGGACTGGAGGGGCTCTTTCTCTTGCAGACTGATTTAATTAACTGTGCGAAGGGTCCTGCGGCTCGAAGCTGATTGGGATCCCGACCTGCCTGAGAATGAAGATGTCACAGCGCCCCATTCATCTAGTGCTGTCTGTCACTCTCTCCCCAAAGATGCACGCCTGCTGCAACGGACCAGTAGTGTGCAGTTTGGAGAGCCTTAATTGAATTCATTTTATATGCTATTGAAAAAGTGTGTGTGTTCGTTTAATCAACGGATAGTTAATAAAAGCAATTGTGAAAAGTAGTAATCATCAATTACTAAAATAAGAGTTAAAGTAGTTCAGAAACACCTTCACATTCTCTGATAGGGGTCATTGATATGTATTTATATACATTCGTCAGTGAATTAAACTATTTAATTAAAAATAATTCTTCATGTATTATTGTGCGCCCACTGTAAAGGTTTCTCTCTGTGAGCTTTGGTTAAGGATGGCAGCTTCAAGTATTTGTTTGCTGCTCAACAGTGACTTTTTTTAAAGTTCCCCTTTTGATACAATTCATTTGTTTGACAGATTGTCAAATATTTTCTTCAAATCTCTGTTCAGTTTTTGAAAAATATTAGTTGTTTTCATGCCTTTTGCTAGATGTTGCAATATTCGATGCTTTTGATCTTCAGAAAGATCTTTCTTCCTCCCCATATCGCATAACTGTGACTTGCTTAATAATGTGATACAACCTCTTTACGTAGGTTTTCCATTTACCTAAGAAAACCTGGCACCTACCTAAGAAACCTATTTAAAAAACCTGTCTCAGACTGATAAAACATATGAGAAAAAAACATATGAGAAATAAAACAAATGAGAAATAAAACAAATGAACACTTTATATGAAAAACCAAAATCAGATCAACAAAGTATCAACAAAATAAATAGAGACAGACAGACAGACAGACACATAGATTGTATATATGCACTTTTTGTATTGTCTGAGAATGAGACCAATAAAGAAACTTGCACCACTAAGCAAAGATTAGTCGTGAAATATAAACCAAACTGCAACACTTATTTTATATATGGGTGTCATATTTCTGCATTTTTAGGTTGAAATGATTATGAAGTGCAATTTTTTACCCCTCCTTTTAAGGTTCACATTGATGGTCTGACACTAGGGGGCAGTGTCTCTCTCTCCCAACTCATAATGACAGAATGTGATGTTTGTGGGAGTCTTACTGAATATAGAACACTGTTTTGCAGATGTAAAATCTGAAATGATCAATTTGATATGAGTCTCTAGAGAAACCAATGAGATCTGTTGCTCTGATGTGGTTCTGCATTCGGAGACATTGCAATGAAAACTCGTCTTCTTGAAGTTTGATATTCTATTTTCTCTTGAGAGGGTTGGGTCAGGTGAAAACAGTTGCGTAACTGCAGAAAAAAATTCCATGTGGTTGGTCTGCATCTGGGAAATCCTCACAAATGAAAAGCCAAAATGCTTGTAACATTTCATTTAAAGCTGCCTGTAAATTATTACATGATTCATGCTTGAATTGTCATGTAAAACTATGAATTCCAGCGCCTCAATAAGACGAACGGCAATGCTGCAAGTGTAAATGAGAGCAGACTGTGGAAGAACAGCCTAGAGAAAAATGCGATGCACGATCTTCAAGGTGGAGCGTGTTCACGGGCCAGAGGATGTGCAGTGACACTGTTTGCTTCAGCAGTTGACCTCTGAGCTCGAGCCATCAGGCCATCAAATGTCTCATGCTGAGAATCACTGCAAACACTCATCTGATCTGCTGTAAACTCTCATTCAGAAGAGTGACATTAAAGACAATAAAATACTACAAAAGATGTCTTTCAAATAAATGCACAAATGCTGTTCTTTAACCATTCTATTCATCACAACATCCTGAAAAAACTGTAACACAAAAATAGTAAGCAGCACAACTGTTTTCAACACTGATAATAATAAGAAATGTTTCTTGAGTAGCAAATCAGCATATTAGAATGATTTCTGAAGGATCATGTGACACTGAAGACAAGATGCTGAAAATTTAGCTATGCATCACAGGAATAAATTAGGAATACATTTAAAAAAATATTATAATAGAAAACACTTATTTTAAATTGTAATAACTTTCCACAATAATACGTTTTTTATTGAATTTAAATTAAATAAATGCGGCCTTGGTGAGACTTCTTTCAAAAACACCCCCTCCCCCCCAAATTTGACCAACCCCAAGCTTTTTAACAGTAGTTTGGATTGATTATAGTATCATAAATTCACCTTTTAAAAGCTGTTTAACTGTATTCAGTGTGGTTTTGTCATATTCTAACACCGATGAATATGAATACACATCTTAAAACCCTTCTTTCAACACAAGGTGATGTAATACATTGTAATTATAAGATTACCCGATAATGAGCTCCACACCAGGAATCCGGTGTCTTTTTTTAACTTGCCATTTTCTGGAGCATGTGCTTTGTACTTTTTGCTCTCACTTCATACTCTCTCCCCATCTAGGGACAAATGTGGCATGTCCTACTTACCTCAGGGTCTGTCAGTACAATTCACCATGTGCTCTCACACTAAACATTAATCTCCAATTTAAAGGAACAGTTCACACAAAAAATTACATTTCTGTCATTTACGCACCCCCACATAATTTTTAACCCACATGAACCTCTTTCCTTTGTAGAACACCAGAATATCTTTAGAATATTTTCAACAAATCATTCTACAACTGGAGATTTGACTCCAAAGAATGATTAGTGCATGAATCACATGCCACTTTTCTCATTAAGAACAAGAATATAAACTTAAATTTCAGTCTGTTTGTAACACAGAACTACTGTATGACTTCAAAAGACGGAATATAACGCATGAGTCATATGAACCATGTTTATGATGGATGGTCGGATGGACAGGTAGAACAATAGAATGACAGAGAGAGAAAGATAAGACAGACAGATGGACGGATAGATAGATAGATGGATAGATAGATAGATAGACAAATAAAACAATACGGACGTACGTACAGACAGACAGACAGACAGACAGAGACATAGATAGATAGATGGATAGATAGATAGATGGATAGATAGATAGATAGATAGATAGATAGACAGACAGAATGACAGATCATAGTACAACAGACAGATAGACAGAAAGAGAGATAGATAGATAGATAGACAGACAGATCATAGAACAACAGACAGACAGACAGATCATAGAACAACAGACAGACAGACAGACAGATAGATAGACAGACAGACAGACGGAATAGTACAACAGACAGATAGACAGAAAGAGAGATAGATAGATAGATAGACAGACAGATCATAGAACAACAGACAGACAGATCATAGAACAACAGACAGACAGACAGACAGATGGACAGACAGACAGATCATAGAACAACAGACAGACAGACAGACAGATCATAGAATAACAGACAGACAGACAGACAGATAGATAGACAGACAGACAGACGGACGGACAGATAGATGGACGGACAGACAGACAGACAGACAGATCATAGAACGACAGACAGACAGACAGATGGACAGACAGATGGACAGACAGATGGACAGACAGACAGACAGACAGATCATAGAACGACAGACAGACAGACAGACAGACAGACAGA